TTCTAATTAAATAATATACATTGTTCTTGATTTGCAGTTCGGAGGGCGGCCTGCGCGTCTTGGCTGTGAACATTCTGGGACGTTTCCTACTCAACTCGGACAAGAATATACGGTATGTGGCGTTGAATACGCTGCTGCGAACGGTGCACGCGGACACGTCGGCGGTGCAGCGGCATCGCACAACCATATTGGAGTGCCTCAAGGATCCGGATGTATCGATACGGCGACGAGCGATGGAGCTATCGTTTGCGCTGATCAATGCACAAAATATACGTACAATGACCAAGGAGCTGTTGCTGTTCCTCGAGAAGGCCGATGCTGAATTCAAGGCGCAATGCAGCTCGGGCATGATTCTCGCCGCCGAACGCTATTCGCCCAATTCACGCTGGCATCTGGATACGCAATTGAGCGTTTTAATAGCTGCTGGCAATTATGTACGCGACGATGTGGTGTCTTCCACCATACAGCTGGTGTCCAGCAGTCCCGTGCCAGAGCAGACATATATCACGAATCGGTTCTGGGAATCGCTTCAAGTGTCCAATCACTGTGAGGACAAGCAGCCGCTGCTTCAGGTTGCCGTCTGGGCCATAGGCGAGTACGGTGATCTTTTCATGTATGGCGCTAACGAAGATGGTGAGTTGATTAAACACAATATCGAGAAAGAACAATTTAATTCTCTATAAACTTGACTTTGACAGAGTTTGAACGTCCCACGGAAAGCGATCTGATCGCTGTGTATCATAAGTTTTTAACCTCTGCTCAAGTGTCGACCACAAGCAAGCAATATGCGCTCGTCTCCCTGGCCAAGTTGAGCACGCGCCTGCAGCAATGCGTGGAGTAAGTATCTAATCTCCAACTCTTCAGCCCTGGCCATCGGCTAATAATAGTCTTGCTCCATTGCAGAGAAATCCAGGCATTGATAACCTCGTTTGGCAGCCATCTAAATGTGGATCTGCAGCAGCGTGGTGTAGAGTTTACGCAGCTCTTTGGCAGCTATAAGCACCTGCGTCCGCCGCTACTGGAAAAGATGCCCGCCATGCAGATAAGTCGCATTAGTTCACAGAATGGCGAAAGCGGCGGCTCTTTCGATGACAACAGTCCGGATGTCATCGAGAATGGGGTCGAGCTTGGCGGCAGTAGTACGCATCCTTTAATCGAAAGCAATATGAATACAATGGGTGACAATACGGTAAGTTACCAGACAATATACACTATCGAGCATCAAAATAAACCTATATCTAATTTTATAGAATATCCTATTGGACTTATTGGGTAGCACGGACTTGTCGGCGGGTGCCAGCGACTTGGCTATGGCCACAGATTTATCAAATTCGGTGCATAAAAAGAACACACGCAATGCAAACAACGATGCGACAGTGTCCAACAATCAGGATCTGCTTGATTTGCTCGACTTGGACATGTCGGCGCCAACCACAACGCCCGTCATGGGCATCAATATGGCTGCTGATCCTAGCAGCGCCGCCAACATGAACACTATGCTCGGTGGCCTCGATCTGAGCGGCTTTGGTGGTGGCATCGATGCTATGCCCAACAGCATACCTACAAACGGCAATGATCTGGCGAGCATGCTGGGACGCCTAAATGTTGCCGGTGGTGCGCCAGTCCATGCACTGGCGCCGCTTGGCAGCGATGTCAACAGCAGCAGCCTGCTGGGTGAACTGAATCCCACGGCGGCATCCAATAATGTGACAGTGGTATATGATTGTAAAGTTAGCCCTTACGCTTCGCATGTTAATCTAAAAATTTCTTGGATTGTAGCCTCCACAGGGTCCGAAGCTAACGGCCCTGGACAAGAATGGACTGCTAGTGCAGCTGGTGCCGGTGCCGGGCAGTGACTGCATGAAGATCTTTATGACAACCACAAATAGCTCAGACAATACATTGGAGCAGTATGTGCTGCAGGTGTGTAGACTTATTGATTACCTGCTTATAAGATTGCCACTAATTTGTTTTACGTGTTTAAAAACAGGCGGCGGTGCAAAAGAGTTTTAAACTGCAAATGCTGACGCCGTCGGGCTCTGTGCTGCCTCCAGGTGGCGTCATTACGCAGGAAATGCGCGTTGTGGCTACGTCCAATGTAAGTAGCTCCACTAGCTTAACTTAGTGTACAACCAGGATTTGGATATTCTTTTAAGTTTAGATATACAGTTGACTGCCTTATAGCTAATATAGCTTTGATTCTATCCTTCGCCGATTTGCTCTCACAATGTTTTTACTCTATGAGAATCGCAAAGAAGGGCGACTTTGCACGAAGAACAAAGCACAATGAAGTTGGCTTTGAACAAATGTTAACGAACGTACATATTCAGAGCACTCTTAGACTCATGAGTTTACATGCAAATAGCAACATATATTAGCCTTTACGAGGTTTACTATGCCCCATACATTATTAATCTTGGACTACTACATTTTAGACCTAATACGATCGGTAGAAAAATTAAGGTTTTGGGCAAAGCAATTCCGAGCCTGTAAGGGCATTGTATTTTCGGCGTGCCGACGATAACTTTTTTCTTCTTTTTTTATATCTAATTGATTTTAATGCTGCTGCTTCTTTCTCTATTCCACAGGCTGTACTGCGCATGCGTCTGCGCATTCAGTACACGCTCGATGGCCAGCAACTAGTGGAGCAGACGGAGGTTAGCGGCTTTCCGGAACAGCAGCCGGCGCACGAGTAAATGTGTTTTAAAGCAAGCGTCTAAGCTTAAAGTCTAAAGACAACACACACAGACACACCCACACACATACCGAGCACAGCTAAATACAGAGGTTGCCACACGCATATACTGTAAAATAAAATGAAAAACACCTACAAACACACACAAACACACAAACACACACATACATACACTCATATAAAAAGAGACCCAGCTGAAAGTCCGTGTGCAGGAAAATGGAAAATAGAAGCATTGCACAGCGATGCCAGACTGTCGCAACGAACGGTGGACATGTGTGCGCTTTAAAACAAGAACAACAACTAAATTGCAAAACCATAATTTATATATATATATATTTATATGTAAACCTATATGCCCATATGATTTTTGTGAGAACATCTTTGATTAATGTCCGCGTTGATAACTATTATTAATATTATTATTATGAATATGATTTGCCTTCATGTGTGTGTACATGTTTTTTGTGTAAAAGACAACAACATTCAGTTTTAATGTAAGACAATAAAGTCATTTAAAAGCGTCAAGCTACATTATATAGCCACAACACTAAATTGTAAATTGCAACAATTAACAATAGCAGGAAATGTATTTTGTTATGCCATAACAAAACAACAAATCAAACAAAAAAAAAAACACTCAAAAAACGCAACTAGAAATGTGACAAATTGTGTATAGCAAAAAAAAAAACGCAGCGCATTTATTCAAGCTTAGCATTTGCCGATTAAAAACAGCAGTATATCGATAATGTCAATCGATCGTTACACACGTTCGTCTATCGATTGAGATTGCAGACATCGCAGTTATTATTATTATTATTCTAATATATAAAAAGAAAAAAAAAACATAATTTGTTATACTTATGTATGTATGTAATATGTATTAATATATTATTATTATTATTTTTTTTTTTTTTTTTTTTGATTGAAACTAATTAAGGCTTCAGACACGCGTGACTGGCAGCGTGCAGGCACAATTCTCAGGATTAACCTGCACTCTGTGACGTCACAAAATGGCCGGTGACACACACACACACACACATACACAACACAGAGAGTTACAAGCGAGCGCAGTGTTGGAAGCCGGCACATTAGCTCAGCACACCGTGTGGCCTACAATTTCCACAACCTATCACTCGATAAATTGTTATTTCCTGTGCGCACGTACTTAAAAACGATTCGACAGGCAACTGCAAAAGCAAATAAGAAACTGCAACAGCAGACAGCACTGTGGAAAACTAGATAATTATAATATACATATTAATAAATTTAACAAAATATATATGACTAAAAACAAAACAAAAAAAAAAAAAAAAACGAAAAACAACAACAACAACAACTATTTAGTAACTGGTAAAACTTAGTTTGCGGGTCAATACGCATTATGTTTAATATTTGGGGGAGGGGGTTTAATTAAAAAAGAAAATCCAGATTTATGTACTATTATTATAATGTATGTATAATTATACAACAATTATAAATATGTCTCGCAGCAAGAATGAGTAAAACAACAACAGCAACAACAACTAATAATAATAATACAAAAACAACATTAACATATTGTACAATATCGTATATAAATATATATCTATTTTTTTTTGTATTCATTCAACAATTTTGAGCTGAAATAAACGCCGACACTTTGTTTTATCAGAAGCCAGAAGACAGTCGCCCGTTTTGCGCTTCTTTCAACAATTCTGCAAGCGATTCTAAAAAAAAATTCACGAAACTTTTTTGCTGCCGTGACTCAAGAGCTAAACATATTTATGATCCATATAATACATGCCATACATTTGAATGTAGAATGTGTAAAATTTGTCGTACTGTTGCCTTTCAGATTTTTCAAAACAATTAACATAAATCGAAGTTAACGTGTTTTAAAACTCTTGAAAAAAAAAACAAAAAAATATATATATCCAAATTTCTATAAGCAGAACAGCGGAACAGAGCCGAACAGAAGAAATGCCGAAACTGCGGGCCCTAAAAAGTATGCTATACTAACCGGATATTGAGTATCAGCTTGGCCGCATTCCAATTAACCGTTTCGCTTCGAAAATGTTTCCATAACACAAACTCTTATCTAGATTCCCCGAACATGTTCTCCAGGCGCTGTGCCTACCCAGCTAATTGGCCACAAGTATAGCCGACTTATGCGAACTGGCTGGCTGGCGTCAGTTTTGGGATGGTTCTTCAGATTCGAACCGCAGTTTTGGCCAACAGTAAGTATTTTATTCAAGATTTTTTATTTAACGCTTTTCTTTTTACTCTACAATATAAGAAATAATTTTTTTTTTGATTTGTTTTTGTGTTTTTTTTTTTCTTCATTTTCAGCACGTGTTTTCGAAAGTATTTAGTTTGCGAACAGGAATATAACAATCCATCACTTGGCGTAAAGTTCTTTCAATAACATTAGTCTGCCATATATATACAGAAGTATATATATATATATATATATGTGGGGCATAATTACATAACAAGAATAAACGATAACTATTTGGGGGAGAGCCTAACTCTTAACTAAATAACAATTTCATTTGAATTCAAACTATGAGCCATTGGGATTATCGACTCCGTCGCCCTTTGGCTGCTTGCACACATCGCACAGCTTCTCCTCGGGCTTCAGATTCCATAGCAAGGCTGCACAGAACTTGGCACAGTCCATTTTGCCCGTTCCATCGGTGTCCACGGCGTCAATCATGCGCTGCACATCCTCCTCGCTGTTCTCATAGCCAAATACGCGCATCATTCCGCGCAACTCGCTGGCGGTCAGGAGTCCACTTCCGTCCACGTCCAATATGGCAAATGTATTGCACATTTCCGCCTTTTTGGCTTTGCTCAACTTGTCCATTTGGTAGGTTGTCGTTTTATTTTTTATTTTCCTCTTTTTTTTTTTTTTTTGTATTTTTTCTTTTATTTTCAAATCAAATAATCTCTCACGCAAAAGAAAATTTTATATAAATTACCGAAAAATATATATATATATTTATTATTTTACTGTTGTGTCTGTTGTCGATCTGTTCCGTTTGTAAGAAATATATTGACTGGCCCAGTTACCTAGACTTAGGCCTACGAGGCTACGAGTACTTCGACGCCTACTGAGCTGCTCTACCAAATCGAATAGCATGTATTTTTCTTAATTATTCAACAAGTCAACATTCTTGGCTCAAGTTAACATATTTGTTGATGGTCGAAGATTCAATTCAAACCTACGGAGCTTACAACAAGTTGCAGCTCGAACCGATGACTCGCCTAGGATTCGACTCTCCACATCTATGAGCCCTGGGCTCTATCTCTGATCCTCCCAATTCCGCTCATCATCAATTATAATAACTATAAAAGAACATTTTCAAATATCAAAAAAAAAATGCCCTACTCTGCGATTCTCACGATTTCAAGTCGGCTCTACAGATGTTTAAAAAAGTTTCTGGTCCTATTATACCAATAGATGGCAATCAAATAAGCTTTTGGGTAAGTGCCAGACATACATATAGACAATGTCCGTCCGATATTGAAATCCTGTTCCTGCAAATCAATCAAATGAATAATAATTAATATTAAAATATAAGGCTATAATAACTATGAAGTATAAGGCCTAGATCAGACAGAGTTCTAAAAGTTAAATTTTCCACTATATATTTGACAGTAGCTGCTAAATTGAAAAGTCAAATGATAAACGATAAATGATAATGAATGCGAAAAGCATTCGAAACTTTTCACTGACAGAACTGTTGCCAGTACTTATCATAGATTAACTAACGTATACTTAATAAGCCGCCTGTCGAGCAACATCCGCCTGATGTGATTAGTCACAGTGATTCGATATTGTCAGCTGGAGAAAAGGAATCACTCATTTGGGCTCAAGTGTGGCGCGGTGACTGGGAATGCTGTCGCTGGCAAATGCTTGAGAAGATTAACAATGACACATGCCCTTAATATACCAAAAGCCCAATCTGATTGTCTTTTAATAAGACAAGCCCGAAAAATCAAGTGTAACGCAAAGCGAATTAGATGAAATCTCTCAGATATAACAACAATGCGGCCCCGCATCAACATGTTACCCGCCCGTCACAGCTGTCAATTGCAACGGCAGCACCAGCAGCAGCAGCAGCAGCAGCAGCAGCGGCAGCGACAGCAAGCGTAGCTAGCCAAGTATCAGCTCAGCGTCATCTCCATATCTGCACAGACAGCTGTGACGGGGCAGAACTTTTACAGCTCTTCGGGCTGCCAGCTGTCGTCGGCTAACGTCGTCGTCGTCGTCAGCGCTCGCGCCTACTCCGCGTAACCTTTGGTAAGGTTAAATGTGAGCACAGCGCCCGCGAATTGTGCCACGCCAAGAGCAGCAGCAGCAGCGGTAGCAACAGCATCAAGAGCAAGGCAAAAGGCAAGGCAAGGCTTCATTGTTGTTGCTGTCGTTGCCTGTTTCCTGCCCATTGTGTCTGTGTGTGCGTGTGTCAGTGTGTGTGTGTGTGTGTGTGAGCGAGCGAGCGAGGCGAGCCAAAGCGCCGACGCACTGGCACTGGGCTGTACTGGTATTTTGGATTTGGATATGTTTTATCCTTTGCATCGAACCTAGCGCTGACTTCGCAGCCTCGAACATGTTTGGCCTTGTCACGTGCAACCTGGCCAGACACAGCGACGTGCTCGGTGTGTGCGTCTGTGTGGGTGTGTTTGTTTGCGGCACAGCAACTGCTGGCTATAAACAGCATAAGCATCTCTATGTGCGCTATATACGTACTTTATGTACACATACATATACATGTTTATATGTATAGATATGTGTGGGCTTGCGTGTATGTGTGTATGTATGTGTGCATCTATGGCAGCGCGGCTGTGTGTTGTATATCAATCGCCCTTTGGGCGGCTGCCTGTTCCCGACCGCGCACACACCCCCTACCCCCGCACGCCGCCCTAGCACTTCAGTCAGCCAAACACCTACTACGCCCGCCGCCCCTTGCACACCCACTACCGCTCTCTGACAGCGCCGCTGGCGTTGAGAGCGGCAGCAAAAACAAAAACAGCACAAAACAAAAAAAAACACACACACACAAAATGAATGGAAAAAAAAAAGAAGTAATTTTGTGCAACGATGCGACCCTTGGCCAAAAATTGTAATGAGAAACCTTTTACGGCACAAACACATGCTCGCTTTTTGTCTTCTTGTGCTGCTTCTTCTTGCTCATCCGTTGCGGCTGCGGCTGCTGCTGCTGCTGCTTCTTCTTCTTGTTGTTATTCGCCTTTTACTCACCTCCCACCACTTCAGTTATCCGTGTAGTGTTTCTAGCATTTCGCTTGTTTTGAGTTTTGTAGTCTAATTTTATTTTTTGATGTTGCTTTTCTGCAGCTTCTTCTCTTGCTGTTTTTTTTTTTTGCCTTTGTCTACTTAAAGTTAATAATTTGTGTTGTTATTGTAATACAATATGGTTTGTAGGTACGCGCTATATGCTTTTCGGTTCAAGTTGAATTTTCATCTGTTTTCAATTTATATATGTATATACATATACATATATATATATATATATGTATGTATGTGTATTTTAATATCAGCTATGTTTGAAGAAATGAGTAAAACACACAAAATCAACAAGAACGTAAACATAAATGAAATAAAGCTGTTCATTTGCACTGTGGAGCATTGCTTCCTCTTGCCTTCCGTTATATATATATACATATATTTTTATATTGCTTTGTTTTGCTTTAGCAGGTGGCTGCCGGGCCAATTGAGATGGAGAGCAGGAGTGCCCGAGGGGCATGGAATATCAAGCATCAGGCATCGAATTGCCCATAACATTGTAATTGCTTTTTGATAAATGAAGCACGCGCTGCACAGCTGACGGCAACAACAACAACAACAACAACAACAACAACAACAACAAGGAACAACGGCAACTAGAACAAACAAACAAGCAGCAGCAGCAGCAGCAGCAGCAGCGGAAGCAGCGCCAGCGCAAATGAGAGTAAAATCTAAAAGGCATTGAGGCTGTGTCGCATAAAACGACTCACTCAAGTGTTGCGCCCCAGAGTCAGGGCCGGAGCTGGGGCCGGGGCCGGGGCGGGGGCCACGCACTCGGCAAGACAATTTAAAATGTTGAAAAATGCTCAGCTAATTGGCAGTTGACAGCGTTGAGAGCATGGGAATGGGAATTGTATGAGTTAGCTCGACAGAAGTGACGGTAGGGCGCGGAGGCGGCTGTAGCGGGTTGGGGTGGGGGGGGGCTATATAAATTTAATTTGGTTTATAAAAAGTGCTTGAGAACGAGTAGAATAGAAAGAGACCCAGCTGAAAGCCAAGTGGCCAGCCGACCAACAAATGCCAGCCCACAAATGCCACAGGCGAGTGCGAGCGAGCGAGCGGGAGAGAGAGTGGGTGGGTGGGTGGGTGGATGGGGGCAGGCAACCTCTGGGCGCGCTCATGTAGGTGAAGCCAACCCCGTTAGCTAACTCCAAATGGAACTTGAGATAATGCAACTTGAGATTTGTCTTGTTTAGTGTGTGGGTGCGCCCCCCCGCTTGTTTGGGGGTAAGCCAACACCCCCCCCCCCCCCCCCCTCCTCGCTCGCTCTTTTTGTATTGAAATTCAAAACAAATCCTCAAGTGGAAAAATCTGTAACGATGTTGGGGCTTAGGTAACGGCAACTCAAGATAAAAAAAAAAAAAAAACAAAAATGGGGGGAAAAAGAAAAAGTGTTACATTGTAAAAGAAATCATGTAATTGCATCGAGATATGAAGAGCTGCTCGAGTTGAGCTTAGAGAATGCTCGGCATGCTCCGAAAATATATATGTATGTGGACATGGCACACTTGTACAAATAGAAGATCGTTTCGATGTCTGGAAAACCAAAGGGAAACATAGATAAATCCATTAGGAAATCTCTTAAAGACTACAGATTAGCAGGCAATTAAAGAAATCTTGTCACAACTTTGAGTTTACTTTACCGAGGCAAAGTTGTTGGGTTAAATAAACAAGTTTCCAAAAAGCTAAAGTGGGCCAGAATTATTCATGAACAAATTTATGGCAAACGATTCCAAAAAAAAAAAAAAAAAAAAAAAAAAACAACAAGGAGTAGAAGTTGACGAAGATGCAGGAGATGGAGAAGAAACCCCATACAAATACATAAATGTAAATGTTGCAACACAATAAGCGGGGCGGCGATGTCGGTGTCGAATCCCGGCTAGCATAACTAGGTGGAACCCAACGAGTAAGCAAGCCAATTGGATAAAGGACAACGCCACGCCATCAACAAACGGTTGGGCTTCCATGGAGCCGGGCCGGGCGGCGGAGCGGGTTGGCGGAGCGGGCAACACATGCACACCCCCGACAAAAGCTGGTTTTTTTTTTTTCGTCTTTTTTTATCGTTGGCATATTTTGCGGCTCCCAATTTATATGGTAAGTGGTTATCCATTTTGTTTTTATCAACATCCAAAGCACAAAAATCGATGAGTTTAGTTGGAAAGTATATATGCATATATATATATATGTAGATATATGGATATATATGTATGGATATTCCCATGCCAACGCCAGCAAATAAAACGCAGAATGCGCTCCAATAACAAATCAAACTATATTTGCATAAACAAACCAAAATAATATTATTATAAACAATCTTTTCATACTTTTCAAAAAAAAAAAAAACATAAATAAATAGTTAGAAAAAATGCTGAACTTAAAAACTATTCACTAGAATAATTAAAACTGATGTCCAATGTGGCTGATGAGTCAGGAAATATATTGTACTTTATGCTATATATATATATATATATATACATATATATAATTAAGTTTTACACGTTAGGTTACTATAAAAAAATATATTTCAATTTATTATTTTCACTTAACGGCTACTTTTGTTGAGTACATTCAGATTTGCTTCCCGAATAAGAACTGATTTATCTAACTGTTGCGGTCGCTTAGCAAACTTCGC